AATGGTTCTTAAACAAAAGCATTGGGTCTCATTCCTAGAAATTCTGATTCTGTAGGCCTGGAGTAGGACCCCCACATTACCATCTCTTAGAAATTCCCAGGTGATGCTGATATGGCTGGACCAGGAACCAGATTGTGAATAGCACAAGTCTACACAAACAAATTAAAGTGACTTTTAGTAATTTGAGCAATGTCAAATATAGTGCCTTAGGAAACAAGTGATAATGGGTTGGGCATCAACCTTTGTAAATACAAACAGAAAACAGCCACCTTTCGACTACCTTCTGTGTAAACAGATGCAAAGACCATAACAGTAACAACAAAAGGCATTTATTGAGTTTTGACTATGTGCCGCACTTTTTTCTAAGTCCTTCACACATATTAAATTACTTTTACATTTCTATCTTATGACAGTCTTAAAAACTAATAATAACATTCTCCAGATCATCTCAATGACTATCTTATATTAACATTCAAATTAATTGCCCTCATTTTTGTTTGTGCCAATGATTTCATTAACAGCAAAAAGTATGACTTGATTATCAAAAGTCATGAGAAAATGGCCGGGGTAAATGTAAGATGCATGACAGGACCCTGCTTAAGGATGGCCAAATGGAGCTCGGCATGAAACAAGGTTTGGATGAACCAATTGTTTGAACGGAGAAATGAAGTAGAGAATTGAAGCCTCATGTGGCATGTGGTACAGGCACACCAAACTCAAAAAAAACCCTGTGCAACAGGTAACATTTTGAGCAACAAAACCACATAACTAACACATTTTATTGGCTTTTCTAGTTTCCTTGATATTTAATTTTGTAAATTTGGTTTTGGTTTTTGGCTATATAGAAACTTTTCATTATATGAAAAAAACACAATAGCACAAGGAATTTTATAGAAGCAATAGGAGTCAGCATTAGAAGCACCCAAGAAACAGCTCCTTCAAGAAAGCTCCAGCTGGGCATGGTGGAGCATGCCTGAATCCCAGTGGCTCCAGAGGCTGAGGCAGGAAGATGGAGAGTTCAAAGCCAACCTCAGCAAGAGCAAGGTGCTAAGCAACTCAGTGAGACCCTGTCTCTAAATAAAATGCAAAATAGGGCTGAGGTTGTGGCTCAGTGGTCGAGTACCCATGAGTTCAATCCCCAGTACTGCCCCCTACCAAAAACAAAGAAAAAAGAACGTTCCAGAGGTAGCTGAAGTTTGAGAACCTCTGCATAATAGTACTTTCTATCTCAGTGGTTCACAGTTGGTGAGATTTTTGTTCCCTAAGAACATTATCAATGTTTGTAAAATTTGGGCTTTGCCACTGGCATCAAGTGGGGCTTGCTACTGGTATCTGCTAAACATACAAAACATTCCCCACAGCAAAGTTAGGCAGCCTGAAATGTCAACAGGGAGAAGGTTTAGAAACTCTTGTCTGTCATTCTCTTTCATTCAGTAAGATTGGGCTACTTATGAAATTTACAAACTACTGCAGAAGACAAGACACACAGACATGAAATAATTAGAATAGTGTAAGAGATGGTGCTAAAGTATTTGAAGAAGGACCTCAGAAGCCACATAATTCAATTTATCATGCAATGCAGAAATTTCCTGTTGGGGACTCCAGCTCCTTCTTCATCTACCTCTTTTTGAATTCTAATACTGAGGAGCTTGTTACTTGGTATCACCAGAGGCAGGAAGCCAATCTCATTGCTGAAATTCCCTCATGTTAGTATCAGAAAATTAATTCTTGAAATAAGCCACAAATGTGCCATCCTATAAGCTTCATTTTTTGGTTCTAGTTTTGCTTTCTAGAGTAGCAGCCCTGACCACTAGTTGACTAGAGATACTACAAAGTCTTGTACATGGGTCAGCAGTTGGTTTCTCAAAACAACCTGGAGAACGTTTATTTTTTAAATTTTTTTATTTGGTTTATTTTTTATTTGTTTTGTTGTTGTTGTTGTTGTTTTTGTTGTTGTTGTTTTTGTTGTTGTTGTTTATTTTAAACCAGGAAATATTTTGGCTTGCTGTCTAACTAACAATTCCTTCCAGATTTATTCCAACCTCCTTTTTTTTTTTTTTTAAATTCAACATCACATACGTAGGCAGGTCTCTGTTTCCATAACTCTGCCCATTCAAAAAAATTGTCACTAGATCTAGGGACTGAGAAGTAGTATTTGCTTTTTATCATTTGAAGCAAGAAAGGATTAAATGTTATAAAAACCTTTGGGATGTACTTTTACAAAGTGGAGATATATTATATTGGAGGACTAATTAAGTACCAGCAATGAATGTAAATTTTCATTATGGTATTATTTCATTTATTTCATACTTACTTTATACCAGGCACATATATCTTGTATGGGCTTCTCTTTCCTGACCAAAATCATGTAACTAACAAATAAATTTTATTATTTTTTTGGTTTTGTAATTTTATTTATATTGAATTTTTAAAATTTGGATTCATTCTTTTGTTATATAGAAATCTTTCATTACATTAAAAAATACCACAAGGAAATTGATAAAAGCAATATGAGTCAACACTAGAAGCATCCAAGAAAGATCTTCTTTCAAGAAAGCTCCAGATGTACTTCATGATTTTATCCTAAAGGAATGTTGGGTTTCATCAAATGCTTTTTCTGTCTCTATTGAGATGATCGGATGATTTCCCCGCTTCAATCTCTTGATATGATGTGTTTCATTGATTTACATTGAACCATCCTTGCATCCTTCAATATCAACTTGGTCATGATGAATGACCAAGTAACCCAATTTAAAAAATGGGCAAGCTGATCAGAATAAACACTTCTCAAAAGAAGACATATACATAGCAAGACATATAAAAAAATGTTCACTATCATTAGCTATCAGGGAAATGCAAACTGAAATTACAATAGATATCATCTCACCCTAGTTAGAATGACAATTACCAAAAAATCACTGGCAAGAGTATGTCACAAAAGGAACTCTGTGAGTGGGGATGTAAATTAGTATAACTGTTACGGAGAACAATATGGAAGTTCCTCAAAAAACTAAAAATACATCTATCAGCTATCCCACTGTTGGGTCATATGTTCAAAAGAAATGAAATAAGCATATCAAAAAGATACCTGTAAAACAGTTTTTCAAACATGAGAAAATCTCATTATCTTTCTTGGATATAAAAGCATATAAGGAAATTGAATGATTCAATAAACCATTTCCTGAAAGAAAAAAAAAAGATACCCACATACCCATGTTTATTTAAGCACTATTCACTATCCACAGTAGCCAAGGTATGGAGTCGTCTTAGGTGTTCATCAACAGATGAATGGATAATTAAAATGTGGGATAAATAGATAGATAGATAGATAGACAGATAGATAGATAGATAGAGATATAATGATATCCATATATAATAGTAAAATATTATTCAGCTATGAAGAAGAATGAAATAATGTCTTTTGCTGCAAAATGGATGGGAATAAAGGACATTATATTAAGTTAAATAGGCTAGACACAAAAAGACAAGAATTTCATGTTTCTTCTCACGTGTAGAAGTAAAAAAAAAAAAAAAAAAAAAAGGCCAGTGTGGTGGCCACACCTATAATCCCAGTGGTTCAGGAGGCTAAGGCAGGAGGATCACAAGTTCAAAGCCAGCCTCAGTAAAAGCAAGGTGCTAACCAACTCAGTGAGATCCTGTCTCTAAATAGGGCTGGAGATGTGGCTCAGTGGTCAAGTGGCCCTGAGTTCAATCTCTAGTACCCTCATCCCCCAAAACTGACCTGAATATAAGAATAGGGATTGCTAGAGATAGAGAGGAGAAGAAAAGGTACATAAAGGGAGGCAGGATTTAATCAGTATACATCATATGTAAGTATTGAAATATCACACTTACCCTCATTAACAAGTACAATTAGTACATTTTATCAAAACTAAAAACAGTGCTTTAAAATTCTAAGAAAATCACACTCAGTTTTTAAGGGGCAATTATTATGGTTTAATGTAATCTGATCATTTAAACTTTCAAAGGTTTAAAATGTCCTTGTTCTATTTTTATGTGACTGGATCCTCTGTTTATTTTTGAAGCAATCATTAACATCTGGAAACCCCAGTTTGGCACATTATCCAATAGATTCTGTTCAAAGGATAGTTCTTATTCAGCTTTCAATATCCTGCAAGCTAGCAGAGTACCTACATGTTCTAAAAGTATTTGCTGAATGATTAAAGACAAAACTAAAAAGAAGAACCTATGAATTCACTTTCTCTTTTCCTCTGAAATTTTACAAACTTATTATCATTGCCCTTACTGGGAGAGTAATCATAAGGGTCTTTTAGTCATTTTTTTATTTAATATATTTTATCCTTTTGGAATAGATTGTTATAGATTCTTCTATAGCATCTTTCACAGATCTATAATCTAAATGGAATATTTGTTGAATTTAAGCTATTATTACTTACTTCTTTGCCCATTTTCTTCCTCAATTTCTTTCTCAGTTAACTAAAGTATGCTGAAAATACTTTAATCTCCAGTACCGCCCCCCATCCTCTCCAAATCGACCTGAATATCAAATAGGGATTGCTAGAGATAGAGAGGGGAAGAAAAGATACATAAAGGGAGACAGGATTTAATAATAATTGCCCCTTAAAATGTATGCTAAAACATTTATTGAATGAAGTCTCATTCCCCTTGATCTTAATTTTAAAAGAAATGAGTTCAACGGTTTCTCTTTTCTTAAAAAATAAACAGCAAAAAAAAAAAAAAACCCACAACTCCCTAAACTTGGTCAAAATTCCTTTTAACCATCTGTGAGGGTGTGAATATGGGAAAGATTATTTATATCTAAGCTAAATACTCTAATGTGCTTTTCCCAAAGATCAATGGCAGTCCAATAAAGATAGAGAAGATAGGAGGAGGCAGAAGCAGAGATGGAAAAACGGGAAGTTATCTGAGAAAAAAGGAAGCATCCAGCTCAAGGGATTTCAATAGCCAAGAGAGTAGAACTTGAACAAAGAGAAAACTGCCAGTCACAAGCTGCTTACCTTTGCACCCCTCACAGGTCAGTGCATTGTAATGGTATCCAGATGCTCTGTCTCCACAAACAACACACAGCTCATCCCCTTTAATTCTCCCTGCAGATGTACCCATTCGGGGCTTCTTTGTTACAGGCATCTCTGCCATCTCAGTCTCTCCCTGGTACAGAGTCTCAGCTGGCATTCGTCTGAGTTCATATATTCCAGGAGAATACCACTCTTCAGGCTGCTGGGGGTAGACACCCAGGTTGGAATAATAGGATGATGAGGAAATCTGTGGTTGAACTTGGGGAAACTGAACATTGTTGTATTGTGAATATGGCTCCACATCTAGATTCTGTCCCAGTGGACCTGATGCTTGTTCTGTTATCATACCTGAATAAAAGCAACAAACCTCAAATTAATGTCATTACTCTAGAAATTAAAGAGGCAGTTTAGCATAATTGTTAGGAGTGTCATGGGGACTGTGGAAGCTGATATTTTTGCATTATTTTCTGGGGTAGGAGATTATACCATCTTTTTACCATTTGTGATTTTTTTCCATGTACATGTGTTATTTAAATTACTATAAAACAAAGGGGGAGCTAAGGAAAGAAATAAGAAAACAGTATTTGGAATCTATCTGGATTCAAATCCCTGTTCTGTTACTCACTATCTGTGTGCAGTTGATGATGTCTTTAACATCTTTAAGTCTGTTTTTTTCTTCATAAAAAGTCTGTTTTCTTGTTGAATTGATGTAAGTATTAAACGAGAATGTTTGCTGAGTACTTTGTTAATTTTGGCACATAAGAAATACTCAATAAATTATATCTGACACTAAAATAGGAATAATAATTACTGTTCCTATTATCATTATTATTCAATGGGCTACTTATATACAAAACCACTAGGTAACAAAAAACTATCAGGTTATAAAAATGTCTCTATTTCCCATAAACATAAATTATAGCTCTTTAGAAAATAAAAATATTTGAATTTTGAAAAATGCTAAAAATTTTAATAAATCAAATTATATTGTGTGCATATATGTATGAATATGTAACAGTGAATTTCACTGATATATATAAAGAATCAATGAAATTTTTTTAAAAAGCAGATGCAAAATGTAGTACACATAAATAAATAAGAGAGTATGTAAATGTGTGTGATTCATCAAAGTATTGTTAGATAACCCTAAACCAAAATCCCAGCCCCATCTCTTATGAACAGTGACACTTTAAGCAAATTTCTTGTATTGATGAAGCTCAGTTTTTATAGCTGCAAGATTGGAATGAAAATATCTATATCCAAGGTTATATAGATCATTGAATGAGATAATACAGATTCACATTTTTGGGATCACATATGTTTTAGAATTTCAATTTTTTCTTTTTGGATTTCAGAATAGAATGCAGTGATATTTATATAACACTCTGGGACAAACCAAGAGTCAAATATAATATCTTCCACAGTGTAATGCATGAATAGTCAAATAAAGTAGAATAAGTAATAACCATAAATACTTTCACACCCATTTAGATGCAGTTTTGCCACCAAATAAGTTTGTGCCAAACTTAAAAAAAAAAAAAAAGCTTTCTAATGATTTTTGGAATTTGAAATAGGCAATTTTATAGGTCGAATTCTATATAGGTAGAATGCTCTTTGAAGTACTCAAAAGATGCCTAATATTATTACTATTGTTGGCAGAAAATTTTATAAAGTCCTTCCTAGACCAGGTACTTATTTGTATACTCTCTTTTCCCACAAAGTCCCATGATGTAGATAATATTATTATGGCCCACTTACAAATAACTTGTGACACCCATTTGTAAACATTAATCATTTGGGGGCTGGAGTTGTGGCTCAATGGTAGGGTGTTTGCCTGGCATGTGTGAGGCCTGAGTTCAATCCTCAGCACCACATATAAACAAATAAATAAAATAAAAGATCCATTGACAGTTTTTTTTTTAAAGTCAAGAAATTTTACTCCTACCTACCTAAGTAACTGAGATTTGAACTTTGGGAGCTGACCTCAGAGCCCCTGCACTGAAACACACTCTGGGAGAATTTCAGATATAAGATGTTTCAAAAGCATGAAAGGCAAAGCTTTTCTCTTCCTCTGCGCTCTTATTTGAGTTTGTTACTCCTTTCAGTGCCTCTGTTTGCATCTACCTTGCAACTAAGCCTGTGAGGCTCTGCCTCTCCCCAGGCATTTTCCATGTTCCATCTTCTCTATTCTTCTTCTTTTTTTAATCTGTAGATGGACACAATACCTTTATTTTATTTATTTATATTGGTGCTGAGGATTGAACCCAGCGCCTCCCACTTGCTAGGCAAGTGCTCTACCACTGAACTACAACCCTACTCCCCATTTGTTCATCTATAAAGAGAAGATTGTGCTAGATGATGTTCTAATTCTTCTTAATTCTAAAATCTTCATAAACATACGACTAATAGTTCATAAGCATCAGAATTCAAGACTTTTCTACAATGGCAAAGTGGAATATATACATATTAAATGTTGTCAAAAAGAATGTGCTCTGCCATGACCCAGGAAATGACTAACAGCACACAATATACAGTATCTGTGAAAAAATCAATTTCCGTTCTTTCATGCCCAACTTATCCTCATAAGCCAGCAGAAAAATCAGTACAGCTGACAGATGAAAAATTTTGGTAATGTTGCTTTGCCTTAGGACCCACAAAAATGGAAAAATAAAAATATGAAATGATTATAGAAAAAAAGATAAAATATAAGCAAAATCATGATCCATTTCATAACCAAATGTGACTAAAATCTCCAGAGTGAATAGGATGGAAAAGAACTTAAAAAATAATAAAAGCATTAGTTTTGCTCATCCTAGATTTTATTCTCCAACATATTCCCTTAATTCTTCCCCTACAGCCCAGGTTCTCTTCAATACAAGGTTAAGCAATTCACCCATAGTAAAACAACCAATTACTGAAGGAATCTGGATTCTGTACAATCCAAGGAAATGGACAATTTTTTTCTCCTCTCAAACAATTTAAGATCTCTGAGCATTATTTCAACAAAACAAATATGTCCATAATCAAGAAACATAATAGAGATTCAACTCAGGCCAGACAATATTGATGTCATATTGATCTCTGGAATCATCTAAATTAACATAGGATATTTTACAAAGATATAGATAATATGATGCCAAACAATAAAGTGGCAAAAATATGAGAATGGTACATAATAATAGTAAATAATGTTTCTATTCTCAAAGTGTACCCACTTCTAGTATTTCACTGTGTGCTCACGAACTAGAGAGGTAAATATGCATAAAGCTTACAAGCAAAGAAACAACATGGCCAACAAATTCCAAAATGGATGGACCAGAACAATATCCACTATTATATGGAGTTCTTAAACAACTGCCTACCCTTTGCAGATCCAATTTCTTCCATAAAATGGGACCATTAATCCCCAGTCCTGCTATCTTAGATGGAAGTTCTGATATAAAAAATACGGTTGTTAAGGAAAAAAGTTTGATAAGTCCAGTACCACTAAAAGACAAGCTGTTTCCTAAAGAACTTAGAAAAAATCCCTATTTTAATGATAGCTAATTGATAGCTAATTCATACTTATTAAAACAATCTGTTTTGATGACACAAATATGAGACAGTTCTTTCATTATAAATGTGTATTGAACACTTGCTACTGGCAGACATTGTGTGAGGCTCTGAGGACATAATGGTGAATGAGACAGAAAAGGATCTAGCCTTTCTCTCATTTGTGTGCTAACGGATAGGAATGACAAGGAACTAAGAAAGCAAATACAGACATTTTGTGACACAGAAGAAAATCGGTGTGGGGGGGAAGCAGGTAAAGTGATTCAAGTTTAAGGTATGTGATTTTTTTTTTTTTTGGTGGATTTTAAGGAGTCAGAAAATCTCCATGAAAGTTTAGGTAAGAGTTTTTAAATAAGAACACATGGATAAACTCCAGGAGAGTCTGAGAATCCCTGAAAAGGAAAACAGAATTCTGAATAGGTTTCTAGCTTTTGATAGACTCTCTAAAGGACTATTATCCAAAGGAACCTCCTGAGATGATGGGTTCCATACCTATGGATATGGTGACTACTAACCACATGGGGATACTGAACACTCAAGATGTGGCTAGTGATATGAAGGGATTAAATTTTTAAATCTACTCAATTCTAAGTAAATAAAATTTAAATAGTCACATGTGGCTCATGATTGTCATATCAGACATATAAAAAGTTTGTGACTAGAACCACTGTGCACCCAAGTGGGAGAATCAGGTTCACAATAATAATAGCAGCATTTTCCCATGACTTCAGTTTCTGATACTCCCGAGAAAGAGTCCAGATTCCATCTAGGTTTTTTTTTTTTTTTTTTTTTTTTAAATCTCTGGCACAATGCTGACCATAGCAAATGTCTAGTGACTGTTTATTGAATCAAAGTGAACAGAAGAATTGCCTTTTTGCCTTCCTTCATTTCCTATAATCCATGGTGTCTTGGCTGGACGGCACAACTTCATTTGTGAAGTTATTTGCTGATCCTGGCATCAGGCCTTTGTGATGTTGGTGCCTCTCTCTGCTTTGTCAGCTGATGACCTCCTCTGCTGAGTTCTGTCCCAGTTCCCTCAGGTGGAATTAATCTCTCCTACCCGCTGTACACACCTCTACTATAGTGCTTATCTAAAGCACGTACACTTTTATTTGTTCAAGGCTTATCTTCCATGCTAAACTTGAGGTGGTATGAAAACTACTTAAGAGTGTACCAGGAGTGGGAAAATCTGCATTCAAGTCACCTGCAGCTTCCTAGATGTGTGAACTAGGGAAAGACATTGAACTTCTTTAAGCTTCTATTTCTTCCTCCATAAAGCTAGAATAATGTAGCTCCTACATCAAAGGTGGTAATAAGGATGCACTAACATAAAGAATATAAAGTGACGGTGCCCGTGCAAACATGATGCATATATTCAGCACATTTTTGTTATTATCGTGGTTAGTCTCTGAACTTTTGAGGGGAAAATATCAGATTATATTCCCTTTCCATTGTTTCTGGCACCTGACACAAAGTCTGACACATAGTAAATTTTTAATAAACGTGTGTTAAATTGAAGGGAATAGAAAATTTGCTTCCCCAGTCTTCTGACTAATTCCATTTCTGAATATGGTGTCAATCACTCTGAGACATCCCATTTAAACAAAATGGTATGCTGCTAAGTCTGTGGTCAAAAATACATTCATAATTATAATTATCATAAAAATGATTAGAATTTCTTTTTGGTGGAGATTTTAAAAGGAGAGTTTCTGCTTTGAGAAAAGTGTTTAAATAATATTTATATTATACACTCTTTAATTATAATGTATATTTTAATTCAGAGAGTACAAATAGCC